TGGGAGGGGAGTGGGGGCTGGTGGTTAGAGCAGGGGGGGCTGGGAGCCAGGACTCCTGGGTTCTCTCCCCAGCTCTGGGGGGGAGCGGGGGGCTGGGAGCCAGGACTCCTGGGTTCTCTCCCCGGCTCTGGGAGGGGAGTGGGGGCTTGTGGGTCAGAGCAGGGGGGGCTGGAGCCAGGACTCCTGGGTTCTCTTCCTTGCTTTACCATGGTCTCTTGGTGGTAGGTCACTGATTTCTCTGTTCTCTCCCCCACGTAGCAGCGCTAATGACGGTGACCAACCTCTGTACGGTGCTTTGCTGGCTGGGGCTGGGGCTGCCTGGGAGGGGGCCGGGGGTTGTCCTGTCCCACCTGGTGCTGAGCCGCTGGATGACGGTTTGTCTCTTTCAGCGCCCTGCCAGAACGGTGGCACCCCAAATGGCACCGAGTGCCTCTGTCTGGCTGGCTACTTTGGCCCCCGCTGTGAGTTACTGGACACCAGGTTCTGCCAGAACGGGGGGGTCTGGACCGGGGCAGAATGCAAATGCCCCCCCTTCTTCCAGGGGCCAGAATGCGAATTCGCCGTGGGCACCATCACACTCCAAGTCGGTAGGAAACTCTGCCTCGGTGTCCGGGTTAAACCAGCCCAGCTCCGTGCCCTCTGAGTGCCCTGTGAAGTCCAGACTGGAGCATCCCGGCCAGGCCATGAGCCAGGCCCATCCTCCCTCACCTGGGGGAATAAAGGTTTGGTGCCTGGATCCGAGGGTGACCAGTGTCATGGAGTGTGGAGGAGTCAGGACCCTGCACCCCTCTTCTTGGGATTCCCCGGGACTCTCAGCCAGCCAGGAGAACAGAAGGTTTATTAGATGACAGGAACACAGTCCCAAGCAGAGCTCGTAGCTACAACCAGGACCCCTCAATCAAGTCCTTTTGGGGAGCGCAGGGAGCTTAGACCCCAGCTTGGGGTTCCCTGCGTTGCACCACCCAGCCCAAAACTGAAACCCCCAAATCCCTCCAGCAGCTCCTCTCTTCCCCCTCCCCCCTGCTCCTCCCCCTCTGCTCCTCCTCTCCTTTGTTCAGTCTCCCGGGCAGAAGGTGTCACTTCTCCCAACCCCCTCCTGGCTCAGGTTACAGCTCAGGTAGCTTCCTGCAAGGGAAGTCCCCCGTCCCCAATGTAACCCCCCTGCAACATTCCCAGGTCAAATCTGCTCCACTCCCTGCTCCACTCCCTGCTCCGTCACACCCAGACGTCCAGATATTATCGGGACCATCCCGTTATTAGAAGCTTTGTCTTATACACGCAACTATCCCCTTTTTCCCGATTTTTCACACTTGCGCTCTGGTCACTCCAGGCCTGTCTGTGCTGGATAAACCAGTTTAATTCCTGGTCTGCTAAGGATGGGGACAGCATGGAGGGTGGGTAGGGAGATGGGTAACTGCTTATAATAGTTGGGACACCCCCCATTCAGGGCCCCCATTGGCTCCTTCATAAAACCAAAGTTTTATTTGGCACCGAAAAGGGCTTTTTTTATGGAAACAAAAATAATTCACAGGAACATTTTGATTCCCCCTCCCAAAATTCCCCATTTTCCACTAAGTTGCCGAACGTTGTGTTTGTGTTTCATATTCAGGTGTCTCCCCCGCCCCCCCCACCACACACACGCACACACACGTAGGGTGACCAGACAGCAAATGTGAAAAATCGGGACGGGGGTGGGGGTAATAGGAGCCTATATAAGAAAAAGACCCAAAAATCGGGACTGTCCCTATAAAATCAGGACATCTGGTCACCCTACACACACACTCCCAGTGCCAGTGTCGATGGTTGGTTTGATTATTTTTTTTATCACACGGCGGGAAAACATTTTCCAATAGGGCCAGTTTGGGTTTTCCAAAATCAAAACACTTTTGTCTCCAGAAATTCCAATTTTTGAACCAAAAACCTAAACAAATCAGAAATAAAAAACACCCAAGAATGTCAGACAAGAAAGACTTCAGGTGGCTGTGAAATGTTAGTGATATTTCAAGTCACTCCAGGGCCCTGCTGCTCCGTCTAGTCCAGGCTGGAGCCCCCCAGTCACCCACTTACTGCTGTGGGCAGGACCCTGGAGGCTCCAGTTCCACCCCATAGTGCCCAGCCCCAGAGAAATTCCCAGAGCCGAGCGATCAGAAAAGCCTCCCACCGTGACCTAACCATCGCCCGTGACAGAGACGCCAGCCCGACCCACGGGAAGCTGTTCTGAGGGTTCGTTCCCCTGATCCAGAAAAGAATTGGCCCCGGATTTCCAGTCTGAATTTGTCTGGCTTCGACTCCCAGCCCTTGGCTTGGGTTGGACCTGGACTGGCGAGGCTGTTAAATGTTTGTTCCCCCTGTCGGTACTTCCGGACCGGGACCGTGTCACCCGTTCACCTGCGCTGTGTTGAGCTAATTCGATCGAGATCTTTGAGGCTCTTCTCTGACCCCCTCCATGGACCCACATCCCGCTGTGGGATCCGGCAGCCCAGAGCCAGCATCATAGACTCATAGAATATCAGGGTTGGAAGGGACCTCAGGAGGTATCTAGTCCAACCCCCTGCTCAAAGCAGGACCAATTCCCAACTAAATCATCCCAGGCAGGGCTTTATCAAGCCGGTTCTTAAAAACCTCGAAGGAAGGAGATTCCACCACCTCCCTAGGGAACCCATTCCAGTGCTTCACCACCCTCCTAGTGACATAGTGTTTCCTAATAGATTCATAGATTCTAGGACTGGAAGGGACCTCGAGAGGTCATCGAGTCCAGTCCCCTGCCCGCATGGCAGGACCAAATACTGTCTAGACCATCCCTGATAGACATTTATCTAACCTACTCTTAAATATCTCCAGAGACGGAGATTCCACAACCTCCCTAGGCAATTTATTCCAGTGTTTAACCACCCTGACAGTTAGGAACTTTTTCCTAATGTCCAACCTAGACCGCCTAATAGCCTAATAGCCAACCTAGACCTCTCCCACTGCAACTTGAGACCATTGCTCCTTGTTCTGTCATCTGCCACCACTGAGAACAGCCGAGCTCCATCCTCTTTGGAACCCCTCTTCAGGTAGTTGAAGGCTGCTATCAAATCCCCCCTCATTCTTCTCTTCTGCAGACTAAACAATCCCAGTTCCCTCAGCCTCTTCTCATAAGTCATGTGCTCCAGCCCCCTAATCATTTTTT